AGGCCATATATTAGCATTTCAGGGGGTTTTGTGACACATGGGAAGCACACATCTTGAGAAATTGTAGGTTATCCAGTTAACCTTGACTGCCTTTTGAAATTTCCTTGAACCTCTGTTCCTCTACTTAATGATTTATCCTGTCGTCTCTGATTTCTTGAGCAGCTAAACATCTTAATAGCTACCATTCTTGATTGCAGCAACAAAGGAATATTAGAGGGGCTTACAGGAACAAAAATGTATACTGGTCTGTATTTAATAACTTTCTACTGTAGGTATACTGAGAGTTTAATTTTATCTATCCTATCTGAAGGTTGTTTTAGGTGCTCTGTGTGGAGTTGAGCCTTGAGGCTTTGTCTTTTTTTCCTTCTGGAATAAAAAGTTTTTATGCCACTTCAGTGGAAATGAGTGCATGATCATGCTGTATTTTTAACTTACTAATTGCGTTTTCAATTCTGTAATTGTATTTGTTCTTTGTATACATAAATACATAAATGACTTCAAAATAAATTGTATGACTAATTAATTTTATGCATTTGAATTGAATAGGCTAAGTCAGACTTGAAATATCTCAATAGAATAGAAAATCTGTTGGAAACTGTAGATGGTTCCACAGAACAGACTCAACTAACTGTAGCTTCAATTTTAAGTATTTATTTCAAAAGGAAAGGAGAAGTATAGCCCAAGTAAATGAAATTTAAAAGTTTAAAATTCCATCTTAAGAAACGGAAACCAATAGTTACAGTCATGGCTTTGACAATTAAGTACTAACAATCTGAGCACTCCAGTTAGTTCTTTGGCTGTTGATTAGATTCCGTGGTGGTGATTAGTATGAGGATGCAATCACATCTGTAGGGTTTAATCAGTTCAGTGCTGGAGAAGTTAGTCCACAGATGGAGAGAGAACTAGGATTCCTACACGTAATCTTAGTAGGGCTTTTCCCCATGCTGAAAAAAATTGAAGAGTAAAATATTTTGGTGTGCTTTATTTTCTTCTATTAGACATTCTGATTATATGATGTCTTTTTAATATTAAAATAATTTATCTTGAAAAGAATACTTACAAATGTGAACATTTTGCCCTCTGCGTTCCTGTGAAGTGGATAAGTGAATGTTTCTGCGCGTAGAAACAAAGAACTGTGGTGGATACCCTTGTCAACAAAGGAAACCCCAAAAGGAAAAGCTTTTGGATCTCTGCTTAGCACATAGTTTCTGTGTGACCTTTCTGACTCTGGCTTTGAGTAAAGGTGACTGTGTGCTGAATCCCCCTTTAGAACCATCTCCACCAGTACATTCTTAATGGCTGTTACTGCCTGCCAGTGCAAGCAGTCTTCCCATTACTTCAGTTCACTGGTACTGCTATCACACCCTTTCTGTTCTGCACTGTGTAGAGCTCAGTTTGCGTAAATAGCATTGCCCACCCCAGTGCATGTTTGTATGCTGGCTTGTTGGCATTATTTCCACATTATCATTGAATGATTGGTTTCTTTACTCACACTTCTGTTTGGTTTGTTTGGTTTTTTTTTTTGCTACACCGTTTTCCAGTAGCACCTATAGATGTGTACTCTATCATATATTCACATAAGGAGAAGGTTGTTGCTACCCTACAAAGTTTATAATCTGAAAACAGCAGTCATGTTTTGAAGGAATGTTTTCTGGGAGCATGTTGCTACGCAGATTATAAGGTTTTGTTTTAGTGGCAGGGCCGTCCATTTTATAGATATTTACACAATGCTCTGAGGTCCAAGTCAGTGTTTCTTGAGACAGTAATGGATGAAAAATGTGCTAGAGATTCAGAGTAAATACCGGGCAGAATTTGATGGAGTGTGATGTTTGAAAAATATGAGATGGCTGTATTCGAAAGATCAGACAGAATTAAGCCAAAAAAAGCACGCGCGCGCGCACACACACACACACACAACCCCCGACCCAAACTAAACTCAGAAATGAATTTGGAACATCCAGGGAGCAGGATAGTAAAATGCCAAATGTTTTCCAAAGGCCTAAGTATCTCTCTCTTCCTGTTAACTGGCCTCTACTTCTATGCATATGTTGTGTGTCACAGAAAACTGCTGTATATCAGAATTCTAGCTTTCCATTTTGTTTATGTTTGGTTCAGTTGACTTTTGCCTCCTAAGGAAGCAAAAACTCAGTAGGACTGTAATAACTGCATTTTATATACTTCCGAACAGGATGCTGCTATTCCCTCTCTTGCTGAAAGGTCTTACAGCCCAGAATATCTAACAGATATTTTAAAGATAAACTACGTAATGTGGTATCACATTAGAATCAATAGTGGTGCATTGTTGGAGACCTAGAAGACAAGGTTTATGGGAAAAAGAAATATCATTAATTTAGGCAGCTGTTTGTAACTTTAAAAGGGCCCCAAAACATGAGCTTTGGAGCACACAAACTCTTCTTCATTAGTGTCCATTAGTGATAGCAATTTTTTTTCTGAATAGCAGTAATACCTAATTACTTTGAAGAAATCAAAAAGGGAGGGAAGGCAGAAGAAATGCAACTACTTCATAGCTACTGTGGTAGTATTTACTTCTGTAGTCCTTACCTCCAAAACTCGTTTGCTGTAATGTTAAATCATGGAGTCATAAAGACTGTCAGTGCATTTAAGGAGTGATGAGTTTGTAAGCAGAACAGAAATACACTAGAATACTGTAGCACAAAGCGCTGATTTATATTTCAGCAAGCTGCAGTGACCTGCATAATATAGCACAGTATTGGTCTGTGTGCCTGTGTCTGCTCAACTCAGCAGTCATTATCAGCTGAGCCTCAAGCACCACTGTAAATATCAGCACAATAGATTTACATTGGCTACAGTGCTCAGGTGCACTTATTTTTAATCTCAGCCCTACCGTGACCATGCCCCACTCTTAAGTATATGTAACTCTGTTTTCACTCTTCGCACTATATGCAACAGCCTGAGAGAACAGCAGTGCCTATAAACCCGACTTGAAGGCCAGAGAGGTGAGGCTGAATTAATGCAAAATTTCCTACCTGTTGTTTCCAAGAGACAAACAAAACAACCGAAATTATAAACAGTATCTGAGTATCTAAGTAATCTCATAGCCTGCATAGCGGTAGTGGTAATGTGCTTGTATTCCTTGCCCCCACCCCACCCCCCATCATGAAGAAAATAGTACTCGAGCTAATGTACTACTTTGGGAGAATAAAACATGAGGTGGAAAGGTGCTGAGCATTGATTCCTGGCAGAGAAAAGCAAAGTACACCAACGCTGCTGTGAAATTTCAGGAATTTTCCTTGTAGCCTTGACTGCCAGACTGATGCTGAAGAAACGCTTAAACATCCTCCCTCCCTTGTGCATATTATTGGATACCTCTGGAAGCTTTTTCTTCTGCTCTGTTATTCTCTTTCTTTGTAAGCTTTCATGGAAAGAAAGGGAATAGATTATTATAATATTGTAGCACCAATACTGTTGTGTTTGCAGTAGCCTTAGCCCAAGATAATGATTTGATTAGCGTGGCTCTTACTCATGGGAATTAGAGATACATGGATTTTCCTGGGATTCTGGGCTTTCAGATGACTTCTTTTTCCCCCACTTAACTTCTTCAGCTGTGTATCTTTTCAGGGAAGTTGGAGGTTTAAAATAGGTATCGAGTCTTCAATAATAGCCAAGGGAAAAAAACAGTGCAGTGAGTCATTACAGTCACTCCTGCAGATATTTGTACTCTGTAAGTCCTATGCAACGCATTTGTTCAATAGGGCCATTGTTCCTTGAATCACTGATGATAGTTCTTCTAAAATTTAAGGTTTTTTTTTCCCTGCAACGTAGTTGCTATAAATGAGATTTGACATTTCCAATTTTGTTACTTGAATGTCCTCAAGGAGGCTTGGAAAATTTGACAGAATATGAAATACTTAACGAGAGCATTAAAGATAAACTAATAGTTCATAGTGAAGAAGCAGGCTAATTTAGTGGATTCTAGCAATCCAAAGAATTTTAATGGTGTTGAATTACCTAAAGAAAACCCCGAAGTCTTATTGTTTTAATTAAATTGTTGATAGAGGTATCTTTTATAAAATATGAAAACTTTTCCTCCCTTTCTTTTATAGCATCTTTTGCTTCTAGCTGTGTAACACCCACGAGTTGTGTATGATGGCAGTAGCAGGAAGAGATAAGCAGAGCTATTCCCTTTGCCAGAGGGTGTAAAATCTTGATCCCACTGCGATTAATGAGAGTTTTGCTCTCAGCCTCAGGCCTTGACCCCAAAAAAGTGTCCTTTAGTACAGCTGGTTTTGAGTTTTCTAACAGAAGCAATTATTATGACTACTCAGGAGCATCTGTATCACACTTGGACTCTTACAGGTTGTTTAAAGGGGGGCAGGATTTGGGGAAGCAACTTTTTCTGAGTCAACTCAGACATTACAAAAATGAAACAAAATCTTTTTGGTATAGAGCTTTGTTTATTCCCCTGTGTGTTTTGGTCCATTTTGCAGCAAGACTTGGCATGGTTCATATATTTGATGTTTGACTCATAAAATTTTTTAATCTTAGTAGAAGGATAAAATGAAATTAGTTTTACCATATAAAACAGAAGTAGTTTCAGTTGTCTCTGTTGCTAGAATTGGATTGTGGTCTCTTCAACTTTTAATTTTCTGTTTCTTAATGTGTATTTTTAATGTGGAAATAATTATTTTTACGCACTCCCTCAGCAAAGCACTACCTAGAGAGAACGAGTAATATCCATTCTGGTTTCATTCCACGTGCTTCCAAACTGTAGTAATTTTCTAGTTGCTGGACTTTTGAAACTGGTTATCTTTTTGTTTTGGATTTATGAATGATTTCCACCTTATTTCTTTGCTTTGATAATTGGAGACTTTAGTTTTGTGATCTTGAATCAGTTTTGCAGATGATATTCCTGCTGATGGTTTATCACAGCACTGTGTCTTCTCTCTAACACAAACAATAGTAAATACAGTTTTGGCTTGAGGAAAGCTATTCTTTTTTCTTTTTTTTTGTCTCTGTAGAAGTACTGCAGCACAGTGCAGCTTGATTCTGGAATAGACTACAGGAAACGAGTGCTTCCTGCTGCTGGAAAACTTTACTACCTGTAAGTTTATCTGTGATATGGTATTTACCTTCTTTTTTCTTCTTATTAGCCAATAATTTCCTAGTCAATAGGAAATGAAAAACAGTAGAATTAGCAGGGTGTGACTTTTCCTTTTTTTGCCTTCTGGTCCATTTTTGTTCAGCAAACCGCTTTCCATTATGCCTCAGTATTAACTTTATTGAACTACGTTTTCAGTATCCACACTAGCATCATTTATAATGTCTGACTGAATAAAAACTAATTAGATTTTTTTGGGGAGGTGTGGTGTTTGGAGAACTGAAGTGACAGATGGTTAGAAAGTAATGAATATCCTCTTGTAAGAGATTGCACAATTCTCCTATAATAGAAGAACATCCTTATTGTATTGAAGTAATTAAGTATTTATAGAAAACCAATGACAAAGATTCATTTAATATTGGGTGTTTCCAGTGGATTAAAAAACCCCAACACTCTCCTATTTTGACAGATTGTTTCTGTTCATCGTGACAAAATTTCTTTAGCAGTTTGTTCTATATTTGCAAATAAATAAATTTAAAAGTACATTCACAGTTGTGCTTCTGGTTGCAGCGTGTATCTGCCTAGTTGAAACTTAATTTCTTCTATTTTTTTAAATACTTTGAGATTTTGCATTGCAGACATTTTTCTATCTTGTACTTGCTCTTATGGTATTATTTAATCAATGATAACCTGAGGAAGGCAGACAACAGTAGCTTAAAATGAGATGTATAACCATTGTATCTTTCAACCCAACACACAAGATTGATTTAAAAATCATGTTTCTGTTAAGAAAGGTGTGGTATTTTCATCAGTGTGACAGGTATTTGAAATGAAGTACGTCCATATCACTTTATAATAAAATTAGAAATTGTAGTTTGACTGGAAGGAGGAGTACTGCTCAGTAGAATTACAGCAGGTAACTCTTTCTGCTTCTGGAAGGAAATGATGGAATCTTATGTATGAAAAATGGGTCCAGTGCAGGTTATGTGTGTGACTGTATGAATGCAAGAAAAGTAACTCTCGTTCTGTATTCTTGCCTGGCTTCACTTTCTGTAAGTTTTGTGGTGTCTACTCAGAAGTACTATTTGAAGCTGCCACTTATCTCAGCATTGCTCATTGTGACTCTTGTTCTGATGTCTACATAGCAGTCTCTGCTTACGGCTCTGCTTATTTTGCCCCTTGCACTTGTGTGGCTCGCTGTTTGATAATTGTGGAGAGCCCCTACTATATTCTTTTCTCACTGTCCATACTTTAAAGAAATGAAGAGCACGTACGTGGTTTCTGACAGGTAGTACGCTAAACATGGTGCCTATGGCATCAGCTCTCTGAGGAGAAGAAATGTGAAGAAGTCACAGGCTTAGTACCTAGTCAGATTATTTCATGGTGTTCTACTGTAAAACTTGTGATCAAGTTATAAGTCTACCTTGTGTTCTCTCATGATAGTTGGTTATCTCTACAACTTGTGTAAATCATTCAGAAGGAGTGGAAAAAAAGTATTTAAAAATCCTTATTTCATCGGCCTTTCTTTTTCTGTGGAATCTTATTCTTCTAGTCAAACTTGTTAACTGGAGCTTTCAACCCTGCACAACTAGCTTAGTATGTGGGGATTTTTCTGTTTGTTTTAAAATTACATACTATACAGTATTTCGCCACAGATTACTGAAATCTAGTTAGCAGTCTTGCCCCCAGAAGAAAGTGTTCTTGTCCAATGTGTTTACATTCTCCTGTTAATGGTTACAGTATCATCATTGGTTTTGTGAGTTTATTTAATTCCTCTTGATGCTTTTATAGTTTAAGTAGTCTTTCATTTAAAATAGGCGGCTGAGGTTTGCTTTAAGCTGTTTCATACAGTTTCATGAAAGCTATCAATGTAACACAATTACAAGATTCCTGATGAAAGCAACTTCCTTGATCTTAGTCTCTGGTGCCTATTTTCAAAACAAACTTTCTTGGCAATTATACAAACTTCATTGAAGCATTATACATCCTACTTCTAGTTTATTGTCTACCACAGCATGCATGCATGCATCCATCTATCTATCTGTCTATCTATCATTAAAAATGATAGATATCATTATCATTGCAAATGATAGATACCACAGAAAGATTGGCCGTCTAACCCATTCAGTGAGGAAAGATACTCCCTGATCAGACTGATTTCTAATTTTTATGGCGAGCAGAAGATGAATATAAACTTTTTAGCTGAGCTGTCAGCACAGGTATTTTGTGTTTTCACCATCTGGGGCTGATTTTTTTTCTAAACAGTATTGGAGACAGAGGGAAAACTGATAAATTTAGTGATGTAGAGATCATGCTGGTCTTCTGAATTTCATAGTTTAATTTTGCAAATGGTTTGGTCAATACAATCAGTTGACTTGATTCTCCCCCCCCCCCCCAAAAGAAAAAAAAGCTGCTCCAATATTTAATTTCACAAAGTCCCCTCTCAGAAATTTCAAAGGACACTTCTTTAGGTGCTTGACTGCCTTGCCTTGTCTATTTGCTCTTATTTTGCATGCAAGATAGAACCAGAAGCCTTTTTTCTCATTGTGTACGCATAGTGTTAATGGATCTGCTCTGCCTGTATTGCCTCATTACTGGAAACAGCTCAAAACACAGAAGTCTTTCAGTGTATGCAAATAAGGCAGAATCATCTACCTGAGAGTTAATATTCTCTACTTTTAAGTGTATTCTAAATCCAATGTTTGTATTTAGAGCATAACATCCTGTGCTTTTTTCTTTTTATGGGCAAAAAGCTAAGCAGGCTCAGGCAGCTGTTTGATGTTGGCTTCAAGTGTTATTAATTTCATATTCTATTATTCTTTTCACTGTAGCACAAGTGAAGCTGATGTGGAGGCTGTCATGGATAAGTTGTTTGATGAGCTGGCTCAGAAACAAAATGATTGTACGTAAGTTAATTTCTCTTGAAAGAGAATACATTTAGAACACAATGCCCAATCTCCACTGACCAATTAATAAGTTCCATTGCTGTATATGGGTTGATGCCACACTCAAGTGGCAGTCATTGTATCAGCATTTTGTCTAATTTATGTGTTGAATCATGTGCTATTATTCATGAAGCTATGCATTTCCTATCTGTAAGAGATGAATTTTATAGTAATTATCCAGAGAAGATTGAGTCTTTGTTCATGTTCCCATAGTAACTAGACCAAGGATTCTAAAAGTGCAAGGCAGAGAGCTGAGGCTGAATAAAGCATGTGGAACCATTGCAGACTTCACATTTGAAGAGCTGTGTGACAGAGTGAGTACCCAGTCAAATCCAGATCAGTAAATGCTCAGACTTGTCACAGTTTAAAAAAATAAATAATCTGAAACACACAAACTTGCTGTTTTCCCAAGGTGTACTAAACAAAAAGGGCTTTTTTTTAATTTGGCACAAGGATTATGAGTTCAACAGGGTGGGTGGGAACAATACCCAAAAAGAACAATAATTTTTAATGAAACAGTAAATTCACTTTTAAGTATATCAGAGATTGTTTTCAAAAATCCTAGTACAGTATATGCCTGGGCTAATATCACTGCTGGAATATTAGTAGTTAAAACATATCAGTATGTAAATAGCATTCAGACACTGCTTTTAAAGTCTGGGGAATCAAGTTGATAATCAAGCAAAGGAGTAGTTATCCTGGCACCACTAGAGTAAAGCTTTTGCATGCCTTACTTGTGAGTAGCTGTACAAGAGCTGTTTAGTCCTAGGCCTTCTCAAATTTGCCATATCTTGCTAAATCCTGCCAAATTCTCTGCTAAATGTGTGGGGTGTGATTCCGGAAAAGCTCTCTTTGCATATTGACCTCCAGTGGGTTTGACGACAGTCCCCCAGAAGTTGGATTTTACTTCAGTGACTTCTCTGCTGACACCTGGAGTTATTGTATAATGATCACAACCCTTAATTAGGCCAGTAGCACCTTTGATTCAGGATACTAACCAGCCTTTTGGTTATAACATTGCATTTTCACTTACTTGTAGCTATGTAGTTGATAACTATTTGGACAGAAATTTCACTGGTTGCATTTCGAACTGTAGGTTTTAGACTTTGTTGGGTTTTAGTTTCAGACAATGCCAGTTAGCCATTTGTAAGAATGGACGCATGTCACTGGTAGAACAGCTTGCTTTTCACTAAAAGTTTTGAGACGCCCTCTTCATTGTGCCTCTTAATTTATCAGGAAATTGCTGTAAGCAAACACTTGTAAAATTCTTTAGCCCAGTAAATGCATTATGTACTTAAATGGGATGATAAATTGCTTCTAAGGAGAAGTGCTCTGGTATCTCACATGGTAGTGGTCACTACTTCGGGTCTGAAAGTTCTGACCTGTTGAAGAATTATGTGGGTTTCAGACCCTTATCTTTGCATAAGGAGCTGAGATGCTTGGCTTGCACTTAGAACAAGTAAAGAGAATCCTTATGAAATGTCAAATATCATTTCACAGTATTGTTCTTACATTGATTACGCCAGAACTCGGGAAGTCATGTTTCAATTCAGATAGCTTCTGCACATGTGTTACGATGGTCTAATAGGATAACGACATGCTTAGACCTAAAACAACATGGCAGACAATAAATGTTTTTCTTTAACAAATTACTCAGTCATTTCTTATTTTCTTTGTGTATGTTTCCATTTCTCTCTACCTTTAATTGTTATATACAATTACTTATTTTGCCATTATTTTTCTCTTTGGTTCACTGATGTACTTTTCTAGAGTCATAGACTGGTTTGGGTTGAAAGGGACCTTAAAGCTCACCCAGTTCCACCCCCCTGCCATGGGCAGTGACACCTTCCACTAGACCAGGTTGCTCAAAAGACCCATCCAGCCTGTCCTTGAACACTGCGAGGGATGGGGCAGCCACAGTTTCTCTGGTCAACCTGTGTCAGTGCCTCACCACCCTTAATTCATAAATATTACATTAGTGTATTGGTAACGTGGTATCACTGTACTCACTTCATTGGTAGAGCAGTATAGTCATGAACTTCAGAATTGTCCATTAAATTTGACTGAATGGCTTGAGTTGCTTCTAATGTGATTTTTTTTTTTTTTTCATTAATATAAACTTTTATAGCACTTCATAGCAAGAGTAAAAAATTCCCATTGGTATAAGCTGCATTTAAGACCTTTCCTGCCTGTTGCTCCATTTGCCCTCCCCCACTGCTATTTAAATCTGCGAAAAGGCAAAAGAAGAATTTAGTTGTCAAACCACAAAACCTGTTCATTTTTTTCATTAAATCTTTTAGCTTCTCAATGGAAAATTTTTTACATGCAGTATCATTTTAGCAGTCGGAATGGAAAGTCATTCCCACTGATACCACAGAAGAAATCAGTAGGGTCCAGAAGAGTGCCCTGGTGGTTCGTAGCCAAAAAAAGTCAGGTGACATTCAACATGACAGGAAGTATAAAGTCATGGATAAATATGCAAGTAAGCTGGCTAGTAGTGGGAACTATTTGTAGAGGAGTAAAGCATAAATCTGTAGGTATTTAGTACTGCTTGTGGTGCCAAATGGTAAAGTTAACAGGTATCATAAGTGAAGCTATTAGGAAAAAGGAAACTAGGAGGCTGAGAAAGATGTAATGAAAAGGAAGATCCATGAAAGAAAATACTGGAGAGGAATTTGTTGGATTTGGCTAGAGTGAATCTGCAGGCTTCTTTGTGCAGGACATGAGGACAGAGTCCCATGGGAAGACAGGTTGTATGAAGGGACATGAGACAGGGAATCTTCCTGTAGCAACCAGGAAGGGGCTTCATTGTCAGTCCAAGCAAAGTGTCCTAGGCAAATAAATGCAATTTAGTGTTGTAGAAGCCAATTAAACTTACAACAGAATCGAAAACAAGATTTGCAGGTGGCTTTTTATCAGTGATAAGTCCTGGTGACAAGCATGATAGATGTGAAATTCTCTGGGGGGAAAAATGACATATAATTGATAATTATTGAAACCTCAAGGGACAATTAATGATAATGTGGAATCAGTGCTTGCAGCCTGCTCACAGACAGAGTGGCCAAACGGAGTGGAGGACAGCGTGCAACATTAAAACACCGGTACCTGACTTAAAGTTAGTTAGTATGAGGATCTTGAATACATATCAATCAGTCTACTAATTAACAAACCCAAGAGGATAGTACTCATAGGGGTCTGTTGCAAATGGAGAATGAGATGCATTGCTTCTTGAGCACTTGACTATAAAAAGCATGTGAAAAAATACCACTGTATGGGAAGCTTGTGCAGTAGATGATATGCAGGAAATGGTGAAATGTAATTAGTCTGAAATTTGCACATGATAATTTTCTAGTATAAAATGTACTACATCTAGTACAAGGTCATTTGCTTTGAGCAGCTTTATGGGAGCTTAGTGATGAATTCAGCTGGGAATTTTTATTGCGTAGGGACAGTCTTCTCCATAATATTCTAACATTCAGTGTAACCAGAAGATACTTCTAAACAGTGAAATTACATATTTAAGTGTTCAGGAAGAGTAATTTTCAAAAGCAAAAGGGAAGTATGACCAAAACTAACTGGAAATGGAAGTGTAAACAACAATAACAAACAAGAACAAGAAGGATTTTTTGAAGATGATAGTAAAAGTACATCCTGTGTCACCGTTGAGACAGAATCAAATAACACAGAATGAAAGGCAACTAGTTATGAAGTGTAGGGAAATTGGAGAAACTAAAGGTCAGGGGCAAATACGATGTCTGCTCGGCCATAAGACTTGTTAAGTGAAAAGGGAGTGAGTATTGGTATAGTGATGTTTCCATTGAAATGAAATTCTGTTTTAAAGGGAAGCAGTAAAACATTTTCCACTTTGGTATCACGTGATTTCATGAAGTGTCAGCCAATACATATAGAATATAGTATATACATATACCATAGAGGAAAATAGCAAGTCAGCAGTTGGTAACTTTATACCATTTGAAATGTCTCCTAGCTTTAAGTAGAATTTTCAGAATAGCTGCTTTTGTAATTAGTACCTGAAGACCTTGGGCGATAGAGTTGGTGCCTTTATGGTACTATAGTCTTTTCTTTCTTGTTTCATGTATTAGCATCAAATTTTTTCATGGCAGGAATATAAGGAATTATTTCTGTCTAAAACTATGCATCAGGTATTGGTAGCTAACAGATCTCCATTAACTTTTATAAAACGAAATACAGAGACTATATTGTACGCAGTGCTGATATGACATGCAGTTGACATGGTAGAAGGCATCTTGTTACATTGTTGTGTGCATCAGTTTTTAAATCGTAGTTTCCCAGTTGAGGAAAATGCCAAGTTTTATCTGATTCAGTTAATATAAAATTCATACACTTAAGCTTTTTTGCTTTACTGCTATGTAAACACATGGAAAAGTAAAAAATGTTGGGTGAGAGGATATCGATCTATTTCAGCTGCTTTAGAGGAAAATGAGAACCAGTTTTTCAGATTTAACATGCTAGGGTTTATGTAGCAGTATGGCACATGGTAGCATTTGCTGTGGCATGGAAGTGGTTACCGCTCACTAGAATGGAGCCCTGTGAATGTCCTTCTGCAGTGTCATCATCCAGAACTGTGCTTGGTTTTCATCAGAATGTTTGTTACTATACAAGCTTTTCTGAGGCCCCATAAAATGGACAAGTGTAGGCAGAGAACACTTGGAGAGGCACCAAGCAGAATGCTGACATAGTTCCTGAATTTTAACACTGATGGTAACATCCCCCATTCTTTGTGGCCTTTAATTTCTTCCTGTCAGTTTCTCCATCTATACAATGAGGGATACATTTGCAGTGGAGTTAGATTGCTGCAAAACATAATTAGTTAATTTTTTCATCAATTTGTTGTGTGAATGAAGGATCGCCATGATAGTGGATTCTAAGGTGCTGATTTTTGACAAGCAAATACAGTTGAAAATTGTCCTTGGCAAATTCTAGAAGGCTTTTGGGCTGGTCAGATCTGATAACTTGAACTCTACAACATGTTTATATAAAACTTTTTTTTCCTTATCCCTTTTCTCAGCAGTTGTATGTATATTCAAAGTTCAGGTGAAAAATATGTTTTAAAGTAAAATGTACATATTAACTTGATTTTAAAATCCCAAGGTCATAAACTAGCAGTCACGCAAATATAATTGTTACTGCTCCATCAGAGTAGATTAATTTCTCTGTGTTTATGCATAAAGGTCAGCGTTCATTATGCCTTAGAAAAATCACCCTCTGCCAGTCCTCTTCACTTCCCTTTTAAAACTGTGCTTAAAAACTTTAAAAATTGTGACAATTTGGC